TCAAAAAGAAAAGCCTCCAAGAATCTGATTCACCCCTCCCTTCAAAACTTCTGAAATGTGTCACCTTAGAACAATTATAAATGTGGTTAAAGATGCTATCTAATTCCACACACCAAGACTAAAAAGCTTACACCTACTTCCTTGGAAAGTGCTTATTTATTTGGCAATGCCATGGTTTAAAAAAAACAAAAAACAAAACAAAAAAGGAGTAAATCACTCCTTGCCTGCAGCCTCTTCCCTTCCCCCAATATAATGTCATCTACTTCCTGTGCAGGAGAGAGCCTCTGCTAAATCCAGGTTGTCTCATACTTAACTGCCAATAAACCAACTTCCACATAACTTCCAGACAGCTGGGGAAAAGGTCCTCGGAGTTTTAGTCATGGTCCAGAAACACGCGTCCACACAAAAATTTGCAGCTGTCCTTTCTCTACAGTGCATTTTTAATGTGATTTGGGGGCCCCTGTTGGGAAACATCTGACAAAATGTAAAATCCTCTTAGATACCTTCTCGTTTACCCACTGTGCGTGTGTAAGAGAAGTTGCACCCGGGCTTCTCAACCAAGGAAAATCTGGGCACTTTCTGCAGGCACACAGGCACCTCGTGGGATGTGAGGAGGCATTCAAAACCTGCAAAGGCTTCTACTGTAATCTTTGAAAGCACAGCCTCTGGTGCAACTATTAAAATGCTAGTTTTCTAAAGCAAATATTTTTTTAATGGCGCGCAGAACTGCAGTTATCCTAGGCTGCTAACAGAAAAGCATTCTGGATCTGCCAGACCCCGGAAACCTTCCTGTAACTTTTTCACAGCTTGCTAAGAAACAGAAAGCTGACTAGCTTCCAGCAGTGACTCTAAATGAAATCCGTATCAGTAAAATTAAAATCAAGGTGGAAAACTCCTGGCCAGAACCGGGATTGTTTGCCTCCAAATCTTTTCTCAATCAGATAGGGGGCATCAGTAAAAGCTACTTCCCTTAAGCAGTCCAAAGTTTCCAAAAACACTGCTTCCAAATAAGCACTTCGGGCCCCCAGCTGCCTAATAGCTTGTTTGGGGGGTTCAGAAAGCTTTAATTTCAACAAACTGCAAAGCGCTGGCGTATTAAATTTATAATCATTAAAATATGACTTATTGGGTGCATGTTGAGCCCATAATCCATACTGCAGACATTAAACCCCAACCTATAAAGATTAGCACAGAATTAATGCTGTTGCGTTGAGATTGGAATCTAAACATGTTCGCCATAAATATTTCTGAAGGAGATGAAAAACAATTAGCATAAATACCAAAGAAGGGCAAGAACACCTGTTCTTTTTCAGGGCGATAAGCATTTTATTGTTCTCTATTTAAAATGTAATGACCTGTGTAATTACAGTAATATTACATTGTTATGTAGGGGCTTGGAATGTCACACTTTGAAAAGTGTTGTCAAAACAATCAGGGGTGAAGGTGGGGGGTGACAGGACAACCAGGGAAGGACCACCATTAACCCTTCACACTCTCAAGGTCTAAATCTTTTGTATTAGAAAGGATTATGTTGTTTGAGTGAGAGGAAAAAACATCCATTTTTCACAAGCCAGAAAGAGAAGATGTTTGCCCCGCTTAATAAAACCCCAATGAATAGGCCCCTCTTGGTTTCTTTTAAATGCTGGATTCCAAGTTCAAAAATGAATTCAAGATGCTGCTTATTTATTTGTTCAACCTAGTAGCCAACAGCTCAGTTAAAAAAAAAAACAACTAACTCTGGGCTATAAGAAGATGCGAGAGCTCTGATAATCAAGTCTTAAAAAGAAATCTCAGACCTAACTAGAATCCCGACCACCCTTTCCTACTTCTCGTTTGGCAAGGGGGAAAAAGAAACGTGAAACTTACTTTTTCCTATCACCTTCAATATGGTAACAACACTCTTATCTTTAATATACAAATGTTACCACAGTTCTAATATTTGCTCTTCTATTACTTACCATCTGCTTAACCAGACCTCTCTCCTTAATGCAGTTTTGTATTCGAATCTGTCTTTTTAAAACCCCTTCCTATTACTGTATCAAAGACTAAATTAATGTTACGCAGAAGGCTTTGTCGTTTTAAAATAAAATTATTACTATCGAGCTTTATGGCGTCTTCCGCAATTAAAGCATTATTCTTGAGACAATGTTTTATTCATCATAGCAGATTTAACGATACTCCTTAAATCTTTACATTCTTAAACAGAAAAGCAGGAATCAGGGATCCAAAGAGTTTGCTTTTTTAAAGGACGCAGCTGCTTACAGGTACACTAACAAGGAACAGAAACCGCAGCAAAAACACCACCACCAAGGAGGGTCGGGAAAAGGAAGCATCCAGCTAGCTGGTCTTTACACCTTGCCCTCGAAAACCCACTCTATGAAGCACTAAGAATTTCAGGGGAGCATGAAAAGACCCCTATCTTGCCTACAGATGCCCTCCGCAGTGGTTATCAAATCTGAAATTGCAAGCTGGCCCTCTGATCGAAGACGTCAGAAGTGACACGCAACAGCCTCTCGTCCCCATTTCTACTGCTCTGCTTACTGGCCTAAATAAATAACTTTAATTTTGGAGCACAGGCTCTAACCCAGGTAACCGAGGGGAAGGAGGAAGGGGCAGCAGCACACACAAAGATGTCTGTTGGTGTTTGACATGCAAATCTCAAAACTGCCTACTGAGTTCAGAAATGTCCTCTCATACTCCATCTGATGTCAGAGCACAAGGCCACCCGCTACGTCCACAATTAAAATAGCTGGAGTGGTCTATTCCTATAATGCCCACAAAGGGGACCGAAGGGTTGGGAGCCTTCCTTTTCGCACCGGGAAATCATTTACTTGCCTTTAACCATTTCCCTGTTTCCTAATTACAGCACAACACAACTGTTCAAGTTGTTAGGCGGCCGTGGGGCAAGATCGCCAGCGGTCAGACTGGGAGTTTGAAAAGAGTCAAGAAGGCCAAGAAGCCCGCCATCAAAGCTCAATATTCAGATGGCCTTTCGGATGGCTAAGTGGATTTTTAAATAATAGCGGAGAGGAATCCATCGAAGGGGGAGGGGAGGAGAGTAAGAAATTCTCAGGGTTACTTTGGAATGTGGCTTGGTCGGGTTGGTCACTACACAAACCCTCTCTGATTCTGAGCCGAATGCTCCCGGTTTAAGATGCCCACGAGCTCCCAAGAAAAATACAACGTAACCGGTCTGTGCTTCCCCTACAGCTGCAACCCCACAGCCCGGCCCCCGCAGCCTGGCGGAGCTGGCCCCGCAGGAGGAGGTCGGGCTGAAACGCTCTACCAGCTTCCCAAGCTTGCAGAAGCCTGGGTACAGGGAGCGAGGGAGGGGGGATAATTATTTCTCTTTCCTAGCCATAAAAAGTGACCGGTCTGGCATGCCCTTGCCCTTTTTGCCAGGGCCCAGAAAACAAGTAAAACCTGATAGTTAATATTTTAATGCTTAGAAACACTTGTAGATCTGATCGCCTCCCGACCGGCCAGCCCTCGGCCATTAGAACCGAATCCACGGCTGCTGAACACTGGGTACATTATTTCAAATTGCTATCTCGAGTTACCGAAAAAGAGAAAACAAAAGTAGTGTGTGTAAATAAGGAGTAAGGGGACCAAACCAGAAAAGGTGCCAAATGACAATCCCGGAAAACCCGGCACAAACGTCCAAAGGCTGTCTCTACAGATTGGCGATCCAGGCTTTTTACAAGAAGGTGGGATTGGGGGAGGGGGGTGGAGGGAGGGGTTCAGGGCGAGGGCAGGGGCAGAGGCCAGCAGGAGAAGGGGATGAGTCTTATTAATACAAATGTCAGGGGCAGGCGCGGAACGCACGCTGCGGGAAGCACCCACGAAGCCGGCACCCGGTGCCGCCCTGGGGCCCCCAAAGTTGGGTGGCCGGCGAGAAGCAGCCCACTCCCTTGAAGGAGAGGCGCCCTTGGCCTCCCTCACCTTCTACATACCCTTGGGCCGGCAAACCCTGGTCTCTGATCCCCCCACCCAGGGCCCACTGAGGGCCTTCTCGGAAGCTGGCGAACGCAGACCGGGCTATGAGCCCCAAGGCACCAAAATTCCCTAGAAATACATCGAATCCGCTCAGAAGAGGCCATCCCGGCTGTACACACACCAAGAACCAGGTCACAGAGGCCTCCCGACTCCGCGCGGCCCAGGAGAGCCCGCAGCCAGCGCGCCCCGCAGCCGAGCCCGCCTCCGCGCCCAGGGCGCTCGCGGCCCTGCGGGGTTGCCAAAGAAAAGCCAGCCCAGAGCCCCCAAGTTTGCAGCGGGACCAGTCTGGGAAGCGTGACCTTCCAGAGGAAAGGGGGAGGGGGGCTGAGAGCCAGCGATCGCCACTAGAAAGCTAAATAAATAACCAGCCGAAAGAGAAAGCCGATGCGCTTCTCCAGGGCCCCGGGCTCCGCGCGCTCGCTACTTCTCCAGTCCAACGCCTGCAGGAAAATCCACTCTCTACCCCGCGCGTCGGACGCAGCACAGTCACTCGGGCCCCGGCAGCGGCAGCCAAGGGGTTAACCGGGGAAAACCCAAGACGCCACAGAAGAGGGAAGGAAGAGAGAGGGAGAGAGAGCGAGCGAAAAGAAAGAGCCACACAGTCGTCTTCCCAGGGTGAAACAAACAACACCACCACAGGGGGAGGGGGAATCAGAGCGCAAAAAAAAAAAGAAAAAAAAAAAAAAGTTCTTCTCTTTACCCCCAACCCAACAAAGCCCTGCTTGGAAAGAAAGGTCTCCCCAACATCACGAGGCAGCAAACTGAAAGCAAGAACATGGCGAAGTGCAAACAAATCCAGTCCACAAAAGGCAGAAAAGTTTGGAGAGTTTCGGGCTGCCTGGGCCGCGAGCGGGGGAGGGGAGGCGGGGAGGGGAGGAGGCGGGGAGGGGGAGGCGGGGAGGGAGGGAACGAGGGAGGGGAGGGGAGGGAGGGGGCAGGGCAGGGGCCGCATGCGGGGCCGGGCGGGCGGGCAGCGGGCGGGGGCCGGGCGAGGAGGCACTTACGGTTCGGGCGGTGGGCGAGAGCGATCCGTTGGGGAGGTAGGGGCTCGTCAGGTCGGGGATCATGATGAAGGGGTAGCCGGGATACGGTGGCCCCTTAAAGAGCCCTCCATCTTGCCTCTTGGCCGCTAACATGGCGGGGCGGCGAGGGGACGGCGGCGGCCGCGCCGAGCGGGAGAGAGCGAGGAGAAACTTTTTAGAAAGTGCCCCAAGTAGCCGGGCGCCCCGGCAGGGCCGGCGCGCGGCCGGGCCGAGCGGGGCGCGGGGCCGGGGCGCGCGGGGCGGCGGGCCCGGGGGGCGGCTCCGGGCGGTTGCGGGGCGCGCGGGGCGTACTCACCTTCTTCCAAACTTTCCCGGGATTTATCTCGGAAACTTTCGGAGCGAGGCGGAGGCCGTCTTTCCGCCTTCCCGGAGGGGTGGAGGTGGGGAGGGCGAGGGGCAAACGCCACGCAGAGGGGGCAGAAGGGGGAGAAAAAGGATCAGCGGGGTGGAGGGGGTTGGGGGGGGGGAGAGAAAACAGGGTTACAAGTTTCTGCAATGGTGGCACCGCGCGCACACGCCGCCCGCCCGGCCCCGCGGCGCCCCCGGCCCCGATTCCTCCCTTCTCGGCACCGTTTGCCAAGCCCAGGAAATAGACTCAAGACCCCACCAGCCCGAGGGGCTTTTCCTACCTCGGAATCGGAGGAGCTGTTTTGATTTGTTTCTGATTCATTGACTAGAGACGATTTGACATCAGCTAAATCCCTCTCTGCCGAGGAGTTTTCGGAGCTCTTCTCCTCCTGCTCGCCCTCGTCTTTGAAGGAAATCAGTTCGTCGTTGGCGCCTAGGTCATCTCCTCCACCGCCGTTCAGCTGCGGCATTTTTTTCACCCACCAGCAGCAATTTTGGAAGAAAAATGAAGGAGGAAGAAAAGCAAAAAAAAAAAAAAAAAAAAACCCCAAAAAGTTTTGCCCCCCCCCCAAAAAATGTTACAAGAAAAAGACGAGTCCAAGGTGAACTTTTTTTTCTGCTTTGGGGTCTTTTTCTCCTGGGGAGGGGAAAGAGGGAGAAGGGGAGGGGAAAGGGGGGGAGATCTTCTGCACGCGTGAGTTTGGGTTTCTTTTTTCTCTCGTTCCCAAGGATCCGATCAATGTGCAAAAAAAATAATAAATAAAAAAGGGGGGTAAAAAAAAAAAACACCAACAACAACAAGAAGTCAGATATAAAGAGCAAAGGGGGGGGGAAGCCGAAGATACAGGAGGAGCTCGTGCCGCTCGGATTTGAGTGAGTTGAAGTTAGACTGAGAGCTTTTCAGTTCAAAGGCGGCGCTGATTGACAGATAGAAAAAGGGGGATCGAAATCCGGAGGAACGGAGTAGTCTGGGAGCGGAGATTATTGACAGGGCGAGAGGAACACACTCGCTTAATGAGATGCCGGGGGGCGGGGCCGGCCCGGTGACGTGTGCATAAATAAACAGCCGGGGTGGGCGGGGCGGGGGCGGCTAACAATGATCCTTTCGGGCGCCGGGAGAGGGAGGAGGGAGAGGAGGAGGAGGAGGAGAGGGGCGGGGGAGGAGGGGGGAGAGAGTCGGAGGGAGGAGTGTGCAGGGGGAAAGGCCTGAGCTGAGTGGGTGCGAGCCCGCGAGTCTGAGCGAGGGTACAGGACTCGCTCCGGGAGGGGGGCGGCTTCGGAAGGACAATGCGGAGTGGGAGAGGAGGGGAAGGGGGTGGCGACCGAGTCAGGAATCCGAGCCGAGGAAGGCGGAAGGAAAGCCCACTTGGGGGGCGGGGATGGGGAGAGGCCCAGAAAAAGTGCACTTTGGAAATATTAGAAATAAGTCTTAAGGAAGGGGAAAAGGAGGAGAGTACTGTGGGGAAGGGGTTGGGGGTGGGGTGTCGCTTAGTGGCTAATCCAGCAGGGAAATCAGCCACCCTTGGGCGGGGATCTAACAGAAGTGGTCAAAAAGAAAGATCAACCCTCCACTTTCAGAGAGCTTGGGGAAGTGGGGAGCTGGGCAAAGTTCCTGGTCATCTGCAGTGAAAGAAACTATTAGCCCACAAGGTCTTCCCTCCCCTTTTTGTTTATTAATAGTGAGTCATTTCATTAAATCTTAAGTCTCACTAGAATAAATATACCAAGATGACTTTTTGCCCAAAAAACAATCAAATACTGTAGTGTTAGTCAGGGGCATTAAAAATATCCTTAAGGAAAAATACGTGGTTCTTTTCAATGTAAAGTGTTCATCCCCCCCCCCCCCTTTGGTAACTGACGTTGGAGGTGGTTAAGAAATGAGCTGGGATTCAAAGTCCTTTCTGCCTTTGGAGGTGAAAAGTTTGGGCGTTAACACCGCCAGGGAAAATAAAACTGAAAGTTCACCAACCTCTGGGATCAGTGGTGCTGGAGTCTTTCTCCAAGGGGGTGTGAAATGAAATCCCCAAAAGAACGGCCAAATAATCAAGATGTAGATGGCTCTGGCAGGAAATTGCTAACCACTGCTGATGCTGAAAGCTCTGGGAGGAGGTGGAAAACCTGGGGTTTGAGGCAGGTATTGTTGTTTTTAGGCACTCGCCTGGGGAGCAGATTTGCTACAAAATGGGGAACAGAATTATGTTAAAGAGGAAAAGGTCTGACTCTCCCAAAACATAGTCTTCCTGGATGTTGGAGCAGGAGCACTCATTTTCTTGCAAATATCCGATGAGAAGTGGACCGGAAACTACAACATGAAAGGGCGGTGGGGGGGGGGGGGACCAAAAAAAAACAAAAAGAAATCAATAGGAATTAGCAAATTATCTGTTAGGAACAGTGTTGGTCTGCAGTCCATGATATACTAAATTATCCCACCAATTCCTAAAAAAACTCACATCCGTTCCAACTGGCCCATCAGCACCTAAGGTTTCTAAAAGAAAGCAAATTTGCCATGTAATATTTAGAGAGTTTGGGTTTCAGCAAAACTGTTTTATAGGCTAAGGTCTCAGAAAGAAGTCTACTAAAAATAATGATACCAAGATTGACAAGGCCAGTGAATTCCCCTGTACTGGGAAAAATTCACAACCACATTAGCACACTAAAGAGTAAAGATGCAGGCAAAATAAAATGGGGGTGGGGGGGTCTACGGAGGAGAATCACTGTAACTCCCAACTTTAATATTAATCAGAAAATCAGAAGTAGAGTGAGAAGGAGCCAGAAAAGAAGTAAAACAAATGTGTACATTTAATCAGACAGGATTGCATAGGATACAAAGCACAGGGCTAATTAGTCTCAGCAGGTAGGACTAACCTTCAGACTTCATAAATAAATAAGGCGGGCACAGTTTCTAAGAGGGAGAGTGGAGACAGAAAGGGGATTATTTTAAGACACCAAGTAAAAACATGAAGAATGAAATGCTTCACTGTTAAATCCATGTACAAATGGATTTAACAGTTTCCTTTTCGTAGGTCTTTTCACTTGGTTGCCTTTAGATTTACACATTTAGCGAATGACCATAGCTTTTCACACTTGCTAATTGTCACCTGCATACCTAGTGTGCCCGAGTCTGTCTGTGTACAGCATAGACTTTCCTAAAGCCTGTTTTAAGGGCTTATTTACTTAAACTGGAACACATTTCATAGTAACTCAATTTTATGGCAATTTCTTTGTCCTGTGCAGTTTTATTTTTTTAATCTAACCCTGATCTGAATTAAGTTGGATAATGAGGTCTTCTATGTCCTCTATAGGACTACCTGGATAAGAAAAGCTCATAAATACACTGAATGGAAATTTTAAAGCATGTACTTATTGTTTTTAATGTCCTGGCCTGCATTTTTTAGCATATGTAAATACTAACGGCTTTCTTCCAATGATTAGTAACCTTATCCACTTTGGCATACCTTCATATTTCTCATTCAAAGGAAACTCTTGAATCTTTCCTCCTTTAAATCTCTGATTTAATTAAGCAATTAAAAGTTATTCCATGATAGCACATGTGCCACATTTAATTTCATTGCTTCGTGCCATTAAAAGGCTTGGGGAGACCCGCAAGATCTCAGAGGGTCAGTAACCCCCAAGTATCCGGAAGGGCTTCAGGCGATGCCTGGGTGGGAGGTGGGGGAGGAAGAGGGTGTGGAATTGCAATTGGCAAAAAGCAGGGGAATATAATACATTTCTTAAAAAGTCAGGTTGGCTCGCAATGTGGACATGTACTTTATAGATTCGGTGTGAAATTTTAAACAACAGTTGGCTTGTGTCCAGGTGTGGAGGCAACTTCTCTCTCTAGATGACTCCTGGTTTACAAGACCATGAATTCTGCCCCAGTAGGAGGGGGTTCGAAGAACACAGGGAGGAAACCAGACCGGTTCTGACTTTGGCCTGAGCCAAGGGGTTTTGCAGATTGGGAGGGTAGCAGGGTGGTGGAGAAGCTCTGACCTCTTTCTTTGGTGCCCATTCCTGGGGCCAGCCAAGGTCCCAAACTCTAAGGAGACTGTGCCTCAGCCTCTCTTCCTTCCTGCTTCTCCTCCTCATCCACTGCCCTTTTGCTTTCTTCATTCCTCTGTTTTCTCCTCCCCGTCAGCTGTCCCTCCGTTCAATTCCTGTGGACATGTGTTGATATGAGTCATCTGCATTTTCCCTTGAAAATTAAGTGAACAGGTCACCTTTCCCAGGGATACTTCCTTTTCATCCCTAGTGGGCAAGGAGGTTTCAGTGAATATAAATCATTCTTCGGGCATTGGTTCCCTATGGGGGAGCCATGGCGGAGTGGTAGGTGCCCTCCAACCAACGGGAATGTGCTTGACGGGAATGGCGGAAATAGGCCAACTGTTCCCTTTGTCCTCTGAGAACTGTCTCACCTCACAGATGAGGCGGTTGGACTGGGTATTTCCCCGGGTCCTTCTTTAACACTCAGGGGGCTCATGATTCCATAGTTTAAGCCCACACTCTAGTTATGCTAAGAAGTTCACCAGCACACCAGCAAAGAGGACAAAGCATGTTGGAAGTTTGGCTTTGGAATTTAGGAAAAACTCACCGGAAGTGGAGAATACATGTTGACCGCCACACTCAGCTCCCCCAGCCGCTCAGCCAGATTCCACTCAATGACCCTCGACAGTGACGTGTACACGTATGCATGTGTGTGTTATGGATTCCGTGTGACGTTTCCTTTAAGACCTGGGTTCCAAGATGGATGATCGGTACCCACTGTGTTGGACTTATCTATGCAGGGACTGTGCTGACTGAGGGAAGCCAAAAAAAGAATCTGAAAACATAAGGAAGCTATAAAATGGGGAAATGTTTTGAAGCCGAAGTCCTGCTTCCACTGTGAGATTTTCTGTTTGCTTTTTGTTCTGCGTGGGTGATGGTTCCTTATTTGGACCTTGAGGAAAGCTACTCCCTGAGCCAACATAGGAGCACTAAAAATTGGACACCTCTGAGAGTTTTCAGCTTTAGCAGGAGGAAGGGGTGGGCAAAAAAGGCCCACTTCACAGGCATCCTTTTATTTTTCCCCAGTGATTCTGTCAAGGGACATGGAAAGGCACATCCCCACTTCTTGGAACCCTGAGGAGCACTGTTCTGATCTGGCATTTTTCTGAAGTCCCTGGCTTGATCACCTTGCTTCAGCTAATGACAGGTCTGGGTAATAAAGTGACAATAATGCCTGATGATCCAAGGGTTAATGGGGAGATGTATGCATTTGTACAGCGTTTCATCACCTGCCTTCATAAGCGGATCACTACCGCACAGGCGTCTGTGACAGGAGCCGCCTTTCGAAAGACATCAGTCCTCCATAAATATACCTTTCTTATTGACAAGATGTCTTTTAACCCTAATAGTAATGGAAGAAGGCCAATAAATGAAACATTTACTGCATAACTTGCCTTATTTTGGGGTGGTGTACGATTCCTTTCTAGCCATCTCTAGAAGATGTTTTCAGC